CTGATCTTTTTCCTAAGGAAATGTCTTCTAATAGTTGACATTTTGAAGCACCAGGATATATCAATTTCCTGATTTCATATCTATTTTCAGAAAATGTCTGAATCCATTAGAAGCAAGATAGAGAACTACAAAACAGCTTCATGTGACAGTAGGTTCCCCAATCAAAATCAAACATGGGGCTGCTGGCAGAACTACCTTGGTTAGTATAATTGATGCATGTGAATGTTGGCGTCTCTGCATTATGGATAAGAAAGATTGTATTCAAAATATTTCTTGTCCCTCTCTTTCAGGACATAATTGAGAAGCATAATTGTATGGAAGAGTTACAGTTCTAACAGGATAACTCTTATTGAGAAACGGTGATCAAAGGAAGACTAAAGTATGTACTTGTGAGTCCTTTGAAACAGTTCAGAAGAAAGGCCCTGCCCCCCCCCCCCCCAAAAAATAATAATACTCCACTTAACTCGGATTGAACTGATGTATCTGAGCCGGCTTTTGCATAGTCTCTTCTGCGGATAACATCTCTCCTCAACTCTCCAAAATTTGCTTAGGTGAATCCACTTTTCCTTACCCATCCACTAGCAGTCAGTAGTAGAGAATTACAGCATTTTGCTTTTTTTTTTCATCCAGAGCACTGTCTTGTGTTTTGGAGAGATTGATCTCCTTGGCATGCCTTTTTTTTTTAGGAGACTTGACTTAGGTCATAGCTGAAATCTCTTGAGCATCATTTGAATGCTGTTCCAGAACCTTTCAGTTGGAGAAGCATCTCAATGTAGAGATGGTTAAGTAATGCTGGGCTCCTGCCTAATGCTTATCACTTTCCCCTTGTCAATTTGTGTGCTGTGGGTATAGAGTTGTCATTGCTAGCAAAATTTCTGCATTACAAACTCCACATGGCTGCGCATATTTTGCTGGGCTGTTTCATGTCTGCTTTGGCTAGATCCTATGGGGAGTCCCCTAGGAGACTTGCCATGAGACTGGGCAGACCCATCCAGGAAACCAGCGCTAGCATTTTTAGCAGCAGCCACACCATGAAATATCCATCATGAATCTCTTCTTAGAGATTCCAAAAAAAGATTGATTATTTGCAAGGAAACAAGTAATGTTCTAATAATTCGCAAACCAACCTCTCTCTCTTGAGGTTTGTGTAATGTTATTGTCAATGGCTTAGGCTTAGAATTTAAAGCAGCCATTCTGATGTACAAATCAGAACTCACCTGATGGGCCAGCTGTGCATTGCATGTCACACACCTTTTGAACACATCAGATTGTTTTCTCTTTAGCAGCAGATTGGAGGATATTGGTAGAAAACAAATTTGTAGCTGGCTTTTTTCCCCTTTTCTTCTGATCTCATAAATATTGCATCAGAACTTCTGTTGGTAGAGAACTCTGTTTTTGAACCTCTTTGGAGTCCTAACACAGTGTTATTCTTGCCTTGTAAAAAATGACTATATTTTTAGCCATGCTTATTTTTTTGCATAAACAAATGGTGGTATTTTTGGATGGGTGCAAGGAAGAAAGAGACTTTCTTACACATTGACTGAAAATATCATCTATTCATATTCTTAAGAGTTTCTTTTCCATCTTTTTCATATCAGTCTTACTACATTCAAAGAAACTGGCAGGGGGGCACTTCTGGTTGCTTGACCTGGCCATGTTTGATTTCCTTTAGCCATTCCTAAAAATACAACCTATGCTTGTAGTCTTGGGCCATAAGCATCATTGGTTGGGTTCGCACAATGCAAAGATCCAGGAGCTTAACTTTTTCTTTTTCTGGCTCAACAAATTTGCTTAGTATTTGAATGGCCCACTGGGATGCAGCTTTCCTGGAACTGGGCTAGATACTCAGTTTGACTTAATTTTATTTACATGAAATGTTAATAAAATTTAAATATAAAGTTCTTTTCCAGTCATATATTTGATGGTTTCTCACCCCTGCTTTAGATAACAGTGCATAAATAGCTCTGCTAGATTGACCAAAGCCTATCTCGGTCCATGATTTTGTATCTTGCAGTGCCCACTAGATACTGCTGGGGTACTCACAAGCAAGAAATGAGGGCATCCCCTGCACCTGATAGTTGGACCGTACTTCCCCCAGCTTGGAAGCGTTCACGATTAATAGCCTTTAATGTGCCTGTCCTGATTGGGTCAAAAATCTATCCAAGATGATAATCACTACATTACATACTATTGAATTAAACAGCCTAAGAACAATGTATTTGGTCTGTAGATGAAAGGAAGGGCCAAGGTAGACTTATCAGAGAATGAGTCCTGCTAAAGGACTGCCGAGAGAGGACTACCTAAGATGGAAGCCAAGTTCTCAATAATAGCAAAATCAAACCTAGCTCAGTTTAGGTTATGTAATGATCTGATCTCTGCTAGCAATCCATCAATGGTAGGAACAAACATCAGTTGGCTTTACATATTGCATTAGATTAGGAGATTGAACAGGTTGGTTTGGTGATGGCTTCCTGACCTATATGAACCTAAGCAATTGTGAGCTTCATTGCCGTCCTTCAGAATTTTTGTTTTCCAATTTCCCACTCTAGTAGTATTCTTTCCACCAAGTCAGACCTTTTTCTTTCTTCTTTTTTTTGTAATTTATTGATTTTTTAAAAACATAAATCACTTAATAATTGATGAATAGTGTGTTTTCTGGGTTTACATTTGTAAAACAATCACTAACAATTGATTTCTATAATCCATAATCCACTTAATAGTTTTAATTGATTTCCTCATTTCCCCAAAATATCCTCTTTTGCAACCATTGAGCTAATACAATTCTTAATGTTTTGATAGATAACAATTGAATATATAATTTTTCCCAATATTCCTAAAAATAATAATCACATCAATATAATATTTCTTTTCTATCCAATCATTCTGGTTGCCTTATAATAGATCCTGTTATGGTCCTTATTTAAATTTGTTTCTCCCACAAGATTCTAAGTATTTTTACTGGTTAAGATTTTCTCAAAAATTAATTACATTTAAAAAATTAACTCTATTTTTTCCATATGAATCATCTCACATTTACATTTCTTAAGGAATAGATAAAATAGTGAAAGAAAGAAAGGAGAGCAAGAGTAAAGAAACATAAAAATAACATACTACTTGAAATACATCTCTCCTAAGCTAATATATATTTGTTTCCAAGATTTTTTATTCTTTTTAACCATAATTAAAAATATGTTTAATCTTTAAATATTCCATTTAATACATCTAGTCATTTAGTCCTTTAACTCTTATTCAAAACATTTTTATCCATTATAATTTTCTTAAATTCAATCACATTTAAATATCTAAAACAAAAAAGCATACTATATTATTTAGATGATTCATCCCTCTTAGAGTGACATATATTCCAAATCTTTTCTATTTCTTTAACCATATTCAAACAAATGTTTCTTTTTAAGTATTTTCTCTGGTAGGTCCCATCATCTATTTTCTTTATTCCCACTTTGGTCTTTTTCCTTTGCCCGGTATCTTTCTTAATCAATGTATTTTGCTCAGTCAAAAGGTTTTTCCATATGCTCATAAATGTTAGTGTAGATATAAAAAGTAAATCAGATGAAGTGCCTTCATACGGGGCTTCTGCCTTTCCATGTTTGTTGAAAATCTTTTTCTTTCTCTCTGCTTCTCTTATCATTTCCTTTCTCTCCGATGTTCCTGACATTTCTACAGTCCATTTTATCCAATCTGTTTCTTGTCCTCAGATTTATTTTGCAGTCTTAAGGGATAAGACTTTTTTTTTCTAATTCTTGTGATTTTTCCCCCACCAAGATTAAATCATGTTTCCTTGTTTTGTTAAGTTCCATCTTTAATTCTCTATTCTCAATTTTGTATCCATTTACCTGTTTTATCTGCTCCTTCTCTGTTGTTGTTTTCTGGGAATTTTTGTTGTTGTACAGTTAACTTGGAAATAGATTGATTAATATTTTCAAAGTTATTTTGGATTTCTTTGTGGTTTAAAATCATTGTTATTTGAATTAGTTGCAATATACTATATATCTCGTCCTGTGGAGTATTTATGTTTTCTTGACAGATTCTTTCTACATGTCTCGGATCCATGATGGCCAAGAACTTCTTTTCTTTTCTCTGCAAATAGCTTTAGGGTCCTGATTAAATAGATATTTGTATTCCAAATCGTTCAAAAAAGATTTTTTTCTGAAATTTATACTTCTCTCAATAGGTATCAGCATCTATTTGTTCTTCAATTTTCAAAATGAACAATTATCTTTAGAATGAGAGTCTTAACCATTCAACAATTTTAGATTTATTCAGATTTGAATTTTAAATTTCAGGTTTTATATTTGTTTCACTTCCATATATTTTGATCCTCCATAAAAAGATTAATTTGCCACTTCCGTTAGTATAAGAGTCGGGCAGAAATCCCCCTCTTCCCTTGTGGAGGAATTTTGTTTCTTGGGGATCTTTTCCAGGAATTTAAATATAGAATAGAAAAGAGAAGATCAAATTCCTCACTCAGTTTCAAGGACGCAAAACCGGAAGTCCAGGTCAGACCTTCTTCAGCTTTTAAGCCCAGTTGTTCAAATGCTGCCATTTAACAGGCCATTCCTTTGCAAAACCAAAGGATCAGAAAACGAGCGACGATTTATACAATTTTATTGCTGTGGATACCTGAGAATTTACATGAAAACATGATTCTCAAAAGATTCTATTTAGTGATTGGGAAGTGGGGTTAATCTGGGATCCTTTTTAGGCAACAGTGGGACCTGGGTATATGGATATGTTTGTGGGGTGACTGCATGACTCCATTTGAGCGTATTGTAAATGCCACAGAAGTACCAATAGAAGAGAATATTCTAGCACTGATGATGTTACCTAGCTGGGTAATGAAACGTCTTGAAAAAGACAAGCTCAGAGAGCATCAAGGACCCCACTGTCCCAGAGGTGGACAGAAATGGAAAGATATTCAGAGATTAAAATATTTGGAATGGTCCTTTTTAGAGTCAGAAAATTTTGCACCTCACCCAAAAACAGGCCTCCATTTTACTGAGATTGTTTTATACTCAAATTAAATGGGACATGATCCCTGCAGCACTATTTTGAGCATTTCTTACTCCAAAGGCAGTCCTATTTGAGTCTAAAAAAAGCTTACTGCCTGGGAATATATTCCAATGCAGTTGGATATGGTTAGGGATATAGAAGAGATGTACTAATATGTTACATTTTCTCCTCTTAACTTTTTCAAAAGTTTTCACGGGGGGCAGGTCGCATCTGTATTTCCTGCAATAATGCTCTTCATCCAGTCAAGATGATCGAAGACATTGGTGTAGACGCCAGGCTCACGCGGTTGGCCACAAGGATACCCACCATCAGATACAATGCCCTGGACTTGTCCATTACAGATGAGGGGTCCCCCAGAGTCAACCTATTGAGAAAAATCAAACATGAAACATTACTACCGTATCTATGAATGGGAAGTGAAGCAAACAATTCACTCCCATCGTCCATTCACATATAGCCCCCAATGTTTCACTTCAATGTTCCCCAATCCAGGATCCTTATAGAAGAATTTAACTCCTTTCTATGTTTCTACAAAATGCCTTCAAGGCTAGTTCTCTATCATAGCTTTGAAATTTGGCATCATTTCTTTAGGAGTCTGTCTTAAAATGGATCATCTTACCAGACATGAATCTTTGCCTCCTTGCAGGATACCTGCACACAATGTTTTGCTTTTCTCCCGCAACTCTGGATAAGCTGCTCGACACACCGCATGATCGAGTATGTTAATGTTAGCACAATGAGGGACATCGGGATAAGTCTCTGAAAAAAATAAAAAATATAGAAAATTCTACCTTTCACAATTTACCACCTAGATGCATAGAGCTATAATTTCCATTGTCTCCAACTAACGGAGCTGATCTCATTGCCTGGAATAGGAAGTGTTGTCTTTCAAAGCCATTCAAAGGGACTTCTTGGGAAAAACAGATTTAGTTAAATGTTTTTTGTCAAGATATTAATAGATATTAAATCAGCTGATGGGCATTTGAAGGCTTCTCAAATTTCTCCGGCACTCTACGCAAAGATTGCCTTGTTGGAAAAGCGGGGCTTTTGCTAGTTCAAAAGTCACAGAACTGATCTCACACCCCCTGGAGATGACCTAGAACGGGGGTCTCCAAACTTGGCAACTTTAAGAGTTGTGAACTTCCACTCCCCAAATTCCTCAGCTAGCATACTAAAACTTCCATATCTGAAGATGAAGCAGACCCATAAGTTTGTTTTGTGTATAAGAATAAAAAATCAGGAATCTTGTCCAAAAGCTCCCTTGGGGAGACAGATGAGGTGGAAATAAGTCTAAGGAAACAAAGGAAAAATGTCATCTGAATCAGACAAAGTTGAGCCTGAGAATATGGAATAAACCCCAATCCCAGCTAATCAACAAATCAAGAACTTTTCAGGATAAAAAGGGGTCCTAAAGCTCACCCACTCCTTGAGTCATTTTTGGATCTACAACGTAGGAGTTTCTGTCCCTCTAGCTGGTGCCTGACAGCCTAATTGACAAGGATGTGTCTAAGTATCGATGGGTGCATGTGCGCGTATGAGAAAGAGCAAAATTACATTGCAAGCAGTAAAATTTTGCTGTTACTTTAAATTCACTGGGTCTCCATGTATTCCAAAAAACCTGTGGTGCCTCAGTGAATAGTTGAAAATTATTTGTGTGAGTCCTTAATTATTTCCCAGCTCTTGACCAAGGCTGTGTGAATTGTCTGCTCTAACTAAACCTATTTGGTAGAAACCTAGGTAGAAAACAAGGTGGGCTTACAAGATCTACCTACCTTGGCAGGCTTGAATGTGTGGATGACCATAAGCCAAAGCTGAGAGTGCATGTAACACTTCCATGGCCTTACTAGCAATAGCAATAGCACTTAGACCTATATACTGCACTCTCTGGGTGATTTACAATATCAGTATATTGCCCCCAACAATCTGAGTCCTCCTTTTATCAACTGGAAAAGGATGGAAGGCTGAGTCAACCTTTACCCCATCAGGATCGAATTGCAGAACTCTCCATGGGAGAGTTCTCCATTTCCATAACGGCCATGGCCATTCACAAAACACCCCATTATTAAAGGTAATGAAGCCAGGCAAGACTGCCATGCTAATGGGACTTTTCTGATTTCCAACAGCACTGCTATAAATAAACCTGATCCTTTAGGGTTTTTTTTAGCTATACAGCTTGCCAGTTCCTTCGTTATTTCTTTTATTCCAAGGACCTTGTGGGTGTGGAACTGATGAAGAAATGGAATCTTAGGGAATCCCATTGTCCATCCACATTCCAATATTCATGGGTGACATAGTGGGACCCTAGACCTAGTTGATGTTACATCAAAAGCTGGGTCTGAGAGTATAGACAGAGATCCCTACCTTGAGGAGATGTGATTGCGCCCCATCCCATAACACGGCAAACTGAGCCCACACTGGGAGGGCTGGAAGGCAAGCTGAGAGGCGCAATGTGTTCACTGTTGCTAACAGAACTGTCCAGCCTGATCAACATGATGTCCTTGTCGTTTTTGTCATCTTTTTTCTTATTGGGACAAATGAACTTCTCCTTTGGGTCTCTTGTCTGCTCATCCTCATTTAGTATCTTTTTGCTATGCACACCAAACATCATCTGGAAATTCTTACTACAAGAAAAACAACAACAAGTTAACAACAACAACTTAAAGTAAACTCTATATTACTTGGGATGGTCCTTGACCTCATTTTGGCCCTCAAGCAGGATGGTTAGCGCCAAAAAAGAAAGGGCCATAACCTATCTTCTCCAACTATATTTTGGGGAAAAACCTGCCAGAAACCTGGAAGAGTTACAGTCAATGTCCTAGAGATCTGGGTTCACTCAAGAAATATATAGATGACCGTGTTAAAGATAGAACCCATGTGGTTACGGTACTAATGTTATGACTTTGTATTGCGCACATGCTCTCTCAACCCAGCCTATCTCAAAGGATGGTAGGATAGATAAAGACGAACACAAAATCTGGATTGTGCCCACTCTGCTCTTGTTTAAAAGAGGTATTAAGATGTAGTGCCTCACCCAGGCCTTTGATAAGGGAGAGAGAAGCCTCTCACTTCATCATCTTTTTATCTTTTATGTTTTACTGATTTTTTTAAAAAAATATTTTCTTATGGCAAACCCCTAGAGACAGGCAGCATATGGTTAATATTTTCTGGTTAGTTGCACAGTCAGTCAGATATTTAGACTGGATTTGGCATTTTTATCCACCTATCAAGTCCTTCCCAAGGACCTGGGGTAGATAAATTCTGTGGTTCCATGGTATTAAAGGGATTGCCACAAGATGTTCCAATTAAGGCTGCCTTTTGCAATTGACTGTGGTGATTTTGTCAATGCTGATGGTATTCAGATAATGTTCCAGATTTTGTTATTCTTGTTATTATTATATCCCAGAAAAAAGGAAAGATATGAATACTATGGTGAAGAAGATGGAAATTCAACCATAAATATAATAATAATAATAATATAACAACAACAACAACAACAACAACAACAACAACAACAATAATAATAATAATAATAATAATAATAATAATAATAATAATAATAATAATAATAATAATAATAATAATAATAATAATAATAATAATAATAATAAAGTTGGAAGGGACTTTGGAGGTCATCTAGTCCAACCCCCTGCTCAGGCAGGAAACCCTATACGATTTCAGACAATGGCTATTCAGTCTCTTGTTAAAAACTTCCAGTGTTGGAGCATTCACTGCTTCTGGAGGCAGGTTGTTCCACAGGTTAATTGTTCTAACTGTCAGGAAGTTTCTCCTTAGTTCTAAGTTGCTTCTCTCCTTGATTAGTTTCCATCCGTTGCTTCTTGTCCTGCCTTCAGGCGCTTTCGAGAATAGCTTGACTCCCTCTTCTTTGTGGCAGCCCCTGAGATATTGGAACACTGCTATCATGTCCCCCCTCCTCCTTCTGTTCGTTAAACTAGACATACCCAATTCCAGCAACAGTTCCTTATATGTTTTAGCCTCCAGACCTCTAATCATCTTTGTTGCGCTTCTCTGTACTCTTTTCTAGATTCTCAACATCTTTTTTACATCGTGGTGACCAAAACTGGATGCAGTATTCCAAGTGTGGCCTTACCAAGGCATTGTAAAGTGGTATTAATACTTCATGTGATCTTGATTCTATCCCTCTGTTAATGCAGCCTAGCACTGTGTTGGCTTTTTTGGCAGCTGCAGCACACTGCTGGCTCATATTTAAGTGATTGTCCACTAGGACTTCGAGATCCCTCTCACAGTTACTACTATTGAGCAAGGTACCCCTATACTATATCTGTACATTTGGTTTTTCTTGCCTAAATGTAGAACCTTACTTTTTTCACCATTGAATTTCATTTTGTTAGATAGCGCCCAGTGTTCAAGTCTGTCCAGGTCCTCCTGTATCCTAAGCCTGTCTTCTGGAGTGTTGGCTATTCCTGCCAGCTTGGTGTCATCTGCAAATTTGATGAGTTCCCCATCTATCCCCTCGTCCAAATCGTTGATTAAGATGTTGAGGAGGCCTGGGGCACCCCACTACACATTTCCCTCCATGTAGATGCAGTTCCATTGAGGACCACATGCTGAATACTGCCGGTCAGCCAGCTACAAATCCATCTGGTGATGATGCTGTCTAACCCACTCTATCTTATCGAGTAGTAGGTTGTGATCTACTTTATCAAATGCCTTACTGAAGTCCAAGTAAATTATATCCACAGCATTCCTCTGATCCACTAATTTTTTCACTGGGTCAAAGAATGCATGATCTGGCATGATCTGTTTTTGACAAACCCATGTTGGCTTTTAGTAGTGATTTTGTTTGCTTTATCAACTTTGTTAGCCAATGAAAATGAGACAACAGAGCCAAAAAGCAAAAACCAACAGTTAGACTAAACAATTTCCCTTTGTTCCAGAACCCTTCACATCCTTATGTATCTTGGCTCTATATCATGCAGGCTGAACAGTGGTGGGATTCAAATATGTGAACAACCGGTTCTCTGTGTGGATGCCGCTTCCAGAAGTCCATTCTGGGCCTAGGCAACAAAAAATTAGCTTCCAGTTCTGTCGAAGTGGTGCGAACCAGCTGAATCCCACCACTGTATTTCTATGTGTTAAAGGGCAAAATGGTGGATATAGGCAGGTTTTTTTTATTTTGGAGACTGTTTATTGGACAATAAACAGTCTTGTAGAGTCTATAGGCTTATACACAGTTCTGTTTTAAGGGCTCTTCTGGATCCTAAATTAGGTGCATTTTGAATTTTTTTTTCCTGTAGATTTCGACCGCTGTGAGAAAGCTATGAATGCCAAAGGCTCCGATCCGTATGTCTGTCAGTGGTATAAAAAAGTATACTCATCCCTGTGCCCTTCTTTTGGGGTAAGTAAATTACGTAAGTCTGGCTAAAGCATTTTGGTACAAGAAACCAGTTGCTTTAGCCTCCAGTCCCGTAATCATCTTTGTTGCTCTTCTCTGTACTCTTTCTAGAGTCTCAACATCTTTTTTACATCGTGGTAACCAAAACTGGATGCAGTATTCCAAGTATGGCCTTACCAAGGCATTGTAAAGTGGTATTAATACTTGATGTGATCTTGATTCTATCCCTCTGTTAATGCAGCCCAGCACTGTGTTGGCTTTTTTGGCAGCTGCAGCACACTGCTGGCTCATATCTAAGTGATTGTCCACTAGGACTCCAAGCTCCCTCTCACAGTTACTACTATTGCGCAAGGTACTCCCTATACTATGCCTGTACATTTGATTTTTCTTGCCTAAATATAGAACCTTACTTTTTTCACCACTGATTTTCATTTTGTTAGATAGCGCCCAGTGTTCAAGTCTGTCCAGATCCACCTGTATCTTAAACCCCTCTTCTGGACTGTTGGCTATTCCTGCCAGCTTGGTGTCATCTGCAAATTTGATGAGTTCCCCATCTATCCCCTCATCCAAATCGTTGATGAAGATGTTGAAGAGCACTGGGCTCAGAAAAGAGACCTGGGGCACCCCACTACACACTTCCCTCCATGTAGATGCGGTTCCATTGAGGACCACACACTGAGTACAGCTGGTCAGCCAGCTACAAATCCATCTGGTGGTAATGCTGGTGTTATGTCCTGGGCCAGCAGGCGCAGGCCGCAGTGATTGGCCCGGGCAGATCATGTGGATGCCCGGGACAAGAAAGGCTGCTCCCAGCCTTGCGTGCAGACGCACGGTGGGAAAAGATCCTTTGCAATGATTGGCCAGCATGGTATTGTGCAGGGGGGCTATAAAAGGGGGCCGCACCATTTTAAAACCTGTTCTGTTGGTGTTTGTAATAAAGGAGAACTGTTGGAACTCGTTGCTTCGTCTCGATGCCTCTTCTTCTGAAACAGAACACTGTCTAACCCACATTTTTCTATCTTATCGAGTAGTAAGTTGTGATCTACTTTATCAAATGCCTTACTGAAGTCCAAGTAAATTATATCCACAGCATTCCTCTGATCTACTAATTTTGTCACTTGGTCAAAGTATGCAATAAGATTTGTCTGGTATGATCTGTTTTTGACAAACCCATGTTGGTTTTTAGTAATGACTTTGTTTGCCTCTAGGTGTTCGCTGATTCGTTGTTTGATTATCTTTTCCAAAATCTTCCCAGGTATTGAGGTCAGGCTGATAGGTCTGTAATTTCCTGGGTCCATTTTTTTTCTTTTTTGAAGATGGGAACTACATCAGCTCTTTTCCTGTCCTCTGGTAGTTCTCCAGTGCTCCAGAATCTTTGAAAAATATAGCTCAGGGGTTCTGAGATCAAATCTGCCAGTTCCTTGAGAACCTTGGCGTGTAATACATCTGATCCTGGTGATTTGAACTCTTCTAGGCTGGACAGGGGCTCACTTACCATATAAACAACATTGCTCAAGATATGATTGTGAGGAGCAATAGCAGTAAGAGCAGAACACTAATTCAAAATGCACAGAGAAGTCACTAAAAACTAGCAGAAACATTATTAAAAAATCTGAATATCTAAACACGATTTCCTTTAACCCTTCCACATTTTGTAATGCCCTCACCTGTCGCAGCGTGCAGCAGTGAGCACCCATTCCTTGTTGATCAAAGTCCCACCACAGAAAATACCACTGGAGTTAAAGAAGACAACAAGGGAACGATGTTCATTTATGTTACATTCATCACCTCCAATGACCAGTTTAGAAGTCTTTTGTGCTGCAAAGAAACCAAAAAAGTTCAGTGTTTGGCTGTGGAGTAGAACAGAATCGCTTTTATTGGTAGTGTTTCTATCAGTACACTAATTTTGATGGGTAACAGATGACTGTGGGACACACAGCATCAAACCAGTAGAATAAAATGGATTATTTGCAAATCATATATATGCCTTTGCCCATGTAGGTAAACTACCTGTGAATCTTAATGATTAATATGTATATATATGTATATGTATATGTATATGTATATGTATATGTATATGTATATGTATATGTATATGTATATGTATATGTATATGTATATGTATATATATATATATATATATATATATGTGTGTGTGTGTGTGTGTGTGTGTGTGTGTGTATGTATGTGTGTGTGTGTATACACACATACACTTTTGAGAAAGGGCATCAGAATTTCATTTTTAACGTGTGCCTCTCCACTGGGAGGGGGAAGGCAATATGTAAGAATCCCTTTGTTGTGAATCACGCTCATCTGCTGGCAGGGCTGTGTGGAATCCTCCAGAGCCTTCGTTCGGCTTATCCCAGTCTGATGACCAAATCAGCTCTCCTGATAGTTTTGGCCTCGCTCCCAGCTGGGAAATCTGCCAGATTCCTCTCTCCCCCGGCTTGCCAGTTGTCGCTTCCCCCCCCCCCCCTGGGGAAACTGTTGCAGCCAGGGGGCTGGCCTCAGACAATTTTTTTTCCTTCATAATCAGATCTTCCCCGAATCTTTACCAGCACCTCTCAAGCTTAGAGGCAGTGGATGGAGTTCGGGAACCCAGATCGTTTTAAAAGGAGTTGAGATCTAAGCATGATGTCATGTGTCTGATTAACGAAACACTTAAAAGGACTTTCAGCCATATTTTTTCCTAAAAGCATTTATTAAGGCTACAGAGACGTTAGTACAGCATGGTGGAAATGCTTAGATCTGGCCTCCCTTCCGTTACACATATACATTCCAAGCATTTTCCCCTCCCCCAACTTTGGGGTCATGGCTCAAATCTTCCAATCAACCTGGAAGATGTGATTCACTTCCGGTTTCTTTTTCCCGGGCTATCCTTATTCTCCTCCCCTTTTCCCTGTTGCCTGGTTTAACTATAAAAATACCAGACAGTTCTGCACATTGTCAAAGCAAGAATATACAGCATTTGCAGCGTTGACATTTAAACTTTAAAGACAAATTAAGTTTGAAAAGATTTAGGATTAAGGAATGATTGAGATACTAAGGGGAAATTAGGCTTAATAAGAACTTTGAAAAAAGGATATATAGTGATTCAATCAATTGTTATAAATAGAAGTGAAATATAAATTGATTAGAAAAGATGTTATAGGTAGATGTTATGATAGATAAGTAGTATAGTATTTCTATAATATATGAAATATGAAAATACTGGGATGATATATTTAAGTGGAAAATTTGGATATTTAGATGTTAATTATTGAGAAAATTATGATTGATAAGAATTGTTTGAATATTATGAAATTGAGCTTAAACAAGATTTATGAAAATAAGGTATATGGTGAATCAATAATATGACTTTTATGAAAACAACATAAGCTGATAAGAAAAAAATGCTATGTATGGACGCTATTATTGTTGGTATAAATATAGAAGACAATGTTTTTATTTAGTCATTTATATATGGAAAATATCAAATATCAAAAATTATATTTGTTTAATGCTGAAGAAGGAGAATACTATTGGGAGAAGAGAGGCTCAAGGAAATGTATTATCAATTGATGGACATTTAGAAGCATTTGGTCCAGAGTCTGATCTTGCTGTACTGCATTGCTAAGCAAAATACATGGCCTCATGATGGGGAGAATAGGGGGGCAGAAGGAGTGAAAGTGGGGAAGAGATTGATGAAAATGGAATTCAATCTATGAGTTTGGATGGGAAGTTGATAACATTAGTATTTAGTTCACTAAAAACAGTTTGAGCCAACATTGATGGCAGTAAAATCCCTACATACCGGTTTTGATATTTGTTTCAGAAGCAATGACCCAGATATTGCACGCTGTATAATGCAGCAGATCTAACAGAATGGGAGCTAGGTTAAATCCAACAGATTTATTTTACCAGTTTGGACAAAAATCAATGGCCATCTCATACACCATTTTTTAAAGACCACCTTAACACTGAAAACCTCTCCCCAACTTTTTTCTCAATGCATTTTATATTAATTAATAATTTATCTTCCTCTATTGAAGTCAGTTGCCAAATAAATAGAAACACGAAAAGAAGCTGACCATATTTGGGACTATATATTTTTAATTGGCTAGTTTTGCTCTTATGAATAAATGTATCAATTCACACTATCATTACAAATACAGAAATAGTCTTCCCCATTTGCACCAACTGGGCCTTCTTCGCCCACTCTCTACTTGTGACCTGCTTGTACATCTACAGTTAATAATTACAGTACATGCAAGTTTATTCCTGTAACTGGAGGTTTAAACCAAAAAAGACACCTAAAGCTCTGTCCACCCTTTGCTCCATTGTCCAGCCTCTTACCGTAAGAAAGCTGTAGTATCAGAAGGTTTGCTAGCACTCTGATCAGCACCATAGTTTCAACTCTAAGCAGCAAGCTGTTTGCCTGGAATTTAGAAATGGGTAACAATTTTGGCAAGAATGCACAGTTCAAAATATTTCATTAATCACTTTATTCCCTTCCACTCCGAGGCAGAAGGACAGATGTGGAAAAAAAACCAGTTTCTCACCTGTAAGATTCCAATCCCTTACTTAAACTTGAGATACCGTATCAATCTAATCAGATAACCCAAGCGGAAACTTCTTGATTAAGCAGCCCTTTATTTGATCAAATTAAGCAGCTGGGTGGCCAAAAATCTGGAACGCTGGCAGAGTCACATCCAGAAGTGCCACGCATTAGAAAGTTGGTAGCATTGCTTTATAAACTTTGTTAGCCAATGAAAATCAGACAACAGAGCCAAAAAGCAAGAAACCAACAGTTAGACAAAACAATTTCCCTTTGTTCCAGAACCCTTCACATCCTTATGTAACTTGGCTCTATATCATGCTGCCTGAACAGTGGTGGAATTCAAACATGTGAACAACTGGTTCTCTGTGTGGATGCCGCTTCTGGAAGTCCATTCTGGGCCTGGGCAACAAAAATTAGCTACCAGTTCTGCCAAAGTGGTGTGAACCAACTGAATCCCACCACTGAGCCTGAAGCATGAAAGAACACTGATAACAAGACTGGATATATATTTCAATAAAAGCAGACCCTTCCGGAAAGCAAAAAACCCTAATATGTGATTAATGCAGTCTATGTGAGATGTTGGTGAAGAATTCACTTCAGCTTTAGGACAGAAGAAAAACAGATTTTTTTTTCTTTTCACTGGAAATATTTTTAAACCTAAAAAAGCCAAGCAGTTAGACCATATAAAGGCAACCAACACTCACTTGACCCATTTGTTTGGCTGGTGTGGAAAAACGACTGTTTCTGTATTATGAATAGTGGGGGCAACTGATACTAACTTAAGTCCAACAATTTCCAATGTTGTGAGACTGGTTTGAAAACACTCCACGTTTTCCATTCTAGGATCTAGTTTTGGAAAAAGAGATCAGAAATGCACAGCACTGGATGGATGCTCTCCACAGCTGTAATTTGTTTGAATTTGACTTGTTTAAAATTGGCCTTAACCTTTAAATTTCATCCTCTCCAGATGCCTGGACTTCAACTCCTAGAATTTCCCAGTCAGGATGGTAATTGTGGAGAATTAGGGAAGCTGAAGTCTGTACAACTGAGGGGGGGAGGGTATCCAGCTATGGTACAAGACTGGCTCAGGAATTCTGGGAGTTGAAGTCCACAAGTCATAAGGGGAGCCATAGTTCCCCACCTCCACTCTAGAAGCAGCTGCGCTTTTGGGATTGGGACCCAACAGGAAAACGAGGGGTGGAGCTAGAGCGTCCTTGTCCCCTTTCTTTCGGTGCTACTCTAGCCTCCCCGTCGCTGATTTCGGCATCTTGGTGGCCTGTTCTGCAGGTGAAAATCTCTTTGAGGAAGCTGCTGCTTCATCAGCCTCATTGCGATGAAAAGCCGGGACTCGCTCGCAGCCGCCCGGGTAGAGGAGCCCAGCTCCTCCGGGCCTTCTTTCTGTCCTTGGAGGGGGAACCCCGGCAGTTTTGACCCTTGGGAAGAGTGCGGGAAGGCCCAGTGCTCAGGGTACCTCCACCCCAAAGGAGAGACATGCCCGTCTGGGTCTTTGGGTCGCAGTCTGTGTCCTCCTGGCCATTGGCAAATCAGATTTGGGGATAGGTAGAGATGGGAAAGCCTGTGGGAGAAAAAAACCAATTGTGTTTGGCACCATACAAATGAAATACATGCATTCTGCTGTAAAGGTCCCAGTCTCTTACTTAAACTTGAGATACCATATTAATCTAATTAAATAACCCAAGAGGAGACTTCTTGATTAAGCAGCACTTTATTTGATCAAATTATGCAGCTGGGTGGCCAACAATCTGGAACGCTGGCAGAGTCACATCCAGAAGTGCCACGTCTTAGAAAGTTGGTAGCATTGCTTTATAAACTTTGTTAGCCAATGAAAATCAGACAACAGAGCCAAAAAGCAAGAAAGCAACAGTTAGACTAAACAATTTCCCTTTGTTCCAGAACCCTTCACATCCTTATGTAACTTGGCTCTATATCATGCAGCCTGAACAGTGGTGGGATTCAAATATGTGAACAACCAGTTCTCTATGTTGATGCCACTTCCAGAAGTCCATTCTGGGCCTGGGCAACAAAAAATTAGCTACCGGTTCTGCCAAAGTGGTGCGAACCGGCTGGATCTCACCACTGTATTTGGATGTGTTGGAGGCCAAAATGGTGGATACAGGGAGGTTCTTTTTTTATTTTGGAGACCCAGGTGTTGGACAATACACAGTCTTGTAGATACTTCAGGCTTATACACAGTTCTGTTTTAAGGGCTCTTCTGGATCCTAGATTAGGTGCATTTTGATTTTTTTCCCTGTAGATTTCAACCGCTGTGAGAAAGCTATGAATGCCAAAGTCTCCGATCCCTATGTCTGTCAGTGGTATAAAAAAGTATACTCATCCCTGTGCCTTTTTGGGGTAAGTAAATTACCCAATTACTGGCTAAAGTGTTTTTGTACAAGAAACCAGTTGGGGGCAAAGGAAGACACTCAGTAGAAGATCTCTCCCTTTTCAGTGGGTCAGCCATGAAGGGTCAGACCAAAATACTTTGGGGTAGGGCACTAGAATCCCTGGCATATCAATCAGGGGTGTTGCAGTTCCAGTCCATCTGGGAAACAATTGATTACCAACTCCACGCCATCAAATACTCCATTCAGAATTGTATTCAAAAGCACATAATTCTCAGCACATAATTGAGAAGCATAATTGTATGGAAGAGTTACAGTTCTAACGGCATCCCTCTTATTTGCAGGTTGACAACTGGGATGAACTTTGGGGAAATGGCTGTTTTCCAGGCAAAATCTGATGGTTTTTGTCTGCCAGTAGCTCCCCCTACTCAGGATGTTGCACTGCTGACTCTTTTCTATGTGTGCATCTGAAGGATTGTCTGAAATGGCTCTTGTCTGCCTGAGCATCTGAATCATTTAATAGTACAAAATCTTGGATATTACCCATTCTAATAAAATGCATAGTATCCATGCCTGTGTTTATCCTGCTAACTCCATTAATGATTCAGGAATATCTTCTACCACATGCTTTATCTATGGTAATGTTGTCAAAGAATGGGACAGATGTCATTACTGTAGTATATGTGGTGCTTTCTCACTGGACCCCTTTTAACAAGAAAGAAGCCTTTCCATTCATTGCGTTAAATAGCTTATATTTACATGGGAAACTTTGTAGCTGCTTGTATGGGTGATAACAGAAATTATTACACCAGGCTCAGCCATTTCACACCTGCTCATTTCTTAGTTGCTAATCCCATGTTCTGGGCTAAGCAAGTACCACGTGAAAAAATTACGTGGGTACATGGTCTTGATTTCAACGTATTTGAATAGTCTCATATATTGCCTCCTCTTATCATAGGCAGCCAGTGAACACATAAAGATCTGATCTTGAAAAAGGCATCAGATATCACACGGGCTCACACATTGTGTTAGATTATTGTGTCTTTCTTTGCAGGCTAGCTGTTGAGCAGGCTAAGCGAACAACTCTGTTTTATGAAGAGGAGACTCATTGTTTTAAACAGTTGAGTGAAAATATCATTCAAAACTCAAGTGTGCCTGGCTGAGGAATTCTGGGAGTTGAAGTCCACAAGTCATAAAAGTGCCAAGTTTGAAGACCCCAGCTATATATCCTTCTAGCGGAAAAAGGTTTTTGGGTGCTATGTCTGCTGTTGTGTATTTTCTATATACTCTTAAAGGCAGTATCTACTAAGGAATCAGAGGCATGTGTGTTGTGATGGCAAATGAAATATGTGCTGTAAGGTCCCAGTCCCTTACTTAAACTTGAGATACCATATTAATCTAATTAGATAACCCAAGAGGAGACTTCTTGATTAAGCAGCACTTTATTTGATCAAATTAAGCAGCACTTTATTTGATCAAATTAAGCAGCTGGGTAGCCAACAATCTGGAACTCTGGCAGAGTCACATCCAGAAGTGCCACACATTAGAAAGTTGGTAGCATTGCTTTGTAAACTTTGTTAGCCAATGAAAATCAGACAACAGAGCCATTCCATCATAAGAAAGACATTAATCAACTGTACAGTCCCTTATTCCCTCCTTCAGTGTATCCCATCCATGTACACGTTTCCCAAGCTTGCATGAAATTTCTCTGGTGCAAAAGCTGATTACAACAAGCAAGACAGCAACAAATAGATTAAACAATTTCCCTTTGTTCCAGAACTCTTCACATCCTTATGTAACTTGGCTCTATATCATGCAGCCTGAACAGAGGTGGGATTCAAATATGTGAACAACCGGTTCTCTGTGTGGATGCTGCTTCCAGAAGTCCGTTCTGGGCCTGGGCAACAAAAAAATTAGCTACCGGTTCTGCCAATGTGGTGCAAACTGGCTGAATCCCACCACTGAGCCTGAAGCGCCTCGACATCAACTCCTAGAATTTCCAAGTCAGGATGTTAATTGTGGAGAATTAGGGAAATTGAAGTCTGTACAACTGGGGGGAGGGTATCCAACTATGGTACCGGACTGGCTCAGGAATTCTGCAAGTTGAAGTCCCCAAGTAATAACGGGAGCCATAGTTCCCCACCTCCACTCTAGAAGCAGCTGTGCTTTTGGGGTTAGGACCAAACAGGAAAACAATAGGCAGAGCTAGAGTGTCCTTGCGCCCATTCTTCTGGTGCTGCTCAAGCATCCCCATCACTCATTCTGGCGTCTTGGTGGCCCCTTCTACAGTGAAAGTCACTTTGAGGAAGCCGCTGCTTCATCAGCCTCGTTGTGGTGAGAAGCCGGGAACTCGCAGCCAGCCAGGGAGAGGAGGCCGGCTGCTCCAGGCCTTGCTTCCATCCTCGGAGGGGGTTCCCCGGTGGTGCTGACCCTTGGGAAGAGCACGAAAGGCCCAGTGCTCAGGGCGCCTCCACCCCAAAGGAGAGGCACGCCCGTCCGGGTCTTTGGGTCACAGGCTGCGTCCTCCTGGCCATTGGCATGTCACTTTTGGGGATGGGTAGGGATGCGGCGGAAAAGAACCTGGAAAAATGAGGAAAAAACAGTTCTCTCCCCCTTTTTCTCCAAAACCCTATTTTAAAAAATGGGGGAAAAACACTCTTCCCCCCCCAACTTTTCCAGTTTTTTCCCAGGCCTTCCCATCTCCAGGGGTGAGGAAGGTTGGAGTCCATGGGATGCGGTGACAGCAAGAGGAGGAGGCCGGGGTC